CGTCACCAGGTTTCTTTTTTGTCCTTGGTTGCTTGCTGCCTGGTTCTTTGCGAATGAAGGGCTGTCTCCATCGGGTATGAGGGGAGACACCCCCCCACCCACCCCCCCCTCTTTCCCTCTCCCACCCGCATGTCTTGCGAATGGGAGGGGGCCGTCTTTGCCGCCTGTTGATAAATAGATGGATAGTGTATCGCTATCATCGTCACATGCAGATTTGAACTCTTGACCTGTTTTGTGAGCAGGAGGAGATTGACACTTTCTAAGTGAGGAATTCCTTCAGTTTTGTTTTTGTTTTTTGGGACTTAATTGGTCGTGAATGTTATAATGTTTGGGGCTAATTAATTGAAAAGAAACAGATGCTATCTCACTTGACAAGAAACGAAGGTGTTGAACTTGGATGATGTTACCAGCAGTCAACCGAGACGTAAATGAACAGTCAAAACAGAGATGCAATTAAAAGTCAGACGCACGTCAATCCTCTGCTGAACGCTATAATGTTAAGGGCCATCCCTCTCTATAAAAAAAAAAAATGTCGAACAGAGGTGTAATCAACAGTCAAACCGAGACGTAATCAACGGTCAAACAGAGACGTAATCAACAGATAACCAAGCAGACACGACACAGAGACCCAAGCAGACAGGACCCACAGATCTGACTTGAAGTAGATCATGGCGCTGTGTGTGTGTGTGTGTGTGTGTGTGTGTGTGTGTGTGTGTGTGTGTGTGTGTGTGTGTGTGTGTGTGTGTTTATTTCATGGATGCTGCTGCGTCCGTTGATTAACGAGCAAGATCGTCATCAACTGAGACCTGTGTCCTGTCTGCAAGGTAGATCGAAGAGCGTTGATGAACTTGAACTACTGAGGGCATATACTCACACTAGGACTTTTTTTTAAAAGTGTATCTGATTGCAACGACGGCCAGATCTAGATGCACCTGAACACAGTTACATCCAGAGCTGAGTCGAAAAGGTCCTAGTGTGAGTATGCCCTGAATGCATTTTGCTCTCAGATCCGCACTCGGATCGCTGGGGTGCACAGTTGCTATAAGTCTGCACTCTGCTCATAGGTCAACTCAGATCTATTGAATGCTATATACTTTGAAGTAGAACCTAGTCGTTGAAACAGGACATGTGACGGTTGAAGAAGGCCGGTATCCGGACCAGGTTGTCTATGGAACCGGGGAAGTTTAATGACACCGTAAGGGGCAGAGAGCCTTTAGTGGGGTGCACATTTCGCAGCCTCCTGGGGCAGAGCCTTTAGTGGGGTGCACATTTCGCAGCCAGGAGACTGCGCTTGTGTGGATTCCATTTTCGTTGTTTGATGTTCTTTCTATTCGCTAGGACGAGTTCGTTTGGGGTCTCCGACAGCAGAAAATAGGGGCCGGTCGCAGTCGTCCCTAACACCGGCCGGAGGGCAGGTTATCTCGTCAAGGTCGTTGCAACGTAGTATAGGGCGCCATCCATTGTTTCCCTTTTGAGGGATAGAGTTTTTTTCCCGTTGAAAACTGGGGGCGGGTGATATGCGTTTGGGCGGACGAGTTGGGTCTGTTTTGTTTTGTTCTTCTCTTCTACTGCATCTTCCCAGAAATACAATATCGAAGCATTCTGCTGTTTGTTACCAAGTAACAAAATCTAGAACGGACTGCCTTGCCTCGTTGGCAGGGCTTACTAAGAAAAGGAAACAAAAAAAAAAGGTACTTACCTTTGCCACGAGAGCTGTGGAGATGGAGGGCCTTGCGCCATTCTGACCAAATGTGCAAAATGAGCATGAATCTTCTGGTAGAACATAGGTAGATACACTGCTAGTAGTTTAGAGCTTGAAATGCCCTTTTTCCTG